CAGTTCTTGTTTAGGCTAAAAAAAAAAACCCTATAAATTTGTAATAGCCCTAGAAAAAGAAAACAGGCGGAAGATGAACATTTGTTTTAGATGTCTTTGGTCAGTACTCTTGTTCACGAGTGATTACTAAGCCTATGGACAGCCCTGAAGCAATAGGACTGTAGCCTCCTACAATGTTTTATGATTGTGTGGTTAGGGGAAGCCCATGCTCATGGCTTCATGTGGTATCCCCGAGCTGAGTACGTTCTTGTATTAACTCCATTCTCCTGTTTTTTTAAAAATCACTTTAAAAGTCACAAAATTCCAGCCACGAAAATAGGGAGTACAAAATGGAACTGAAATTCCACAGATCACTGTCATTAACTGGAATAATTGTGGGCTCAAAGCGATGATTTTTCAACAGCTTGAAAGCTGTAACAAAAATTCCTACAAGCCAGAAACACAAGCTAGTACAAGACAATACTCAGCTCCCCGTGGGTTCCATGCCCTTTTCTACATGTTATGGCTATGGAAGAGACAGAGACGAAACTGAGAGGCTGGGGAGACATTAAGCTTCCTAGAGAGCCACAGGAAATTGAACCATGGAGTCCAGAATGATGCCAGCTGAGTTCATGAAAAGAGCACCCCCACGTGTGAGAAGGAAAAAAATACGTACTTTCTTTCAATATAGATTGTAAAGCGCATAGAGCTTGTTCTTAAGCAGGAATTTATGCTATATAAATGGCATTTATCGTATTATCATCACCAATAGCAGCACTATATCCAACAAAATGCCGATGCAACAAAATCAAGGTTCTGTGCCTTCTTCCTCATTCCACTTTAACCAGGTTTCTGGCGCTAACAGGCATGCCCTGTCTTCACTTTCACCTCACGAAATATCTTTAACAAGTGCAGTATGCACACACATCCTCCGAGATGAGGAAAAGAAAAGTGGGTGGTTGGCAGGAGCTCTGCTATGGTTTGCTCTTTCTTTCCTATCAAACATCTAACGTCCTTATCTCTCCTCCTTCTTTTCTGAGTTTGTTACTCTCTTGTAACACCTCTAATCATTGGTACTTATATGACCTTATTGTGTTGCAAGTGCTGTAAAACTCTTACAAAAAAAAAAAGGAAAAGAAAATTAAATACTTCATTCAAACCTATCATGTGACCAGGGCAATGAAAATCCTAAGTAAAAAAAAAGATCTATAGATATTCGCCATTAATGCCAAAACAAAACTGGGACGGGAGGAGGAATTTGAACTTATGAGAATGAAAGTCAAATTCTGTACCGTTAGACAAATTTAGGGACAAATTATGAATGGACGTGTTGGGAGCATAAAACTTTTACATGGATGTAGAAGAAAATATTCAAATGTTACATTCATTTGTGGCAAATGACGATTTACAGGAACGTGGTACTCCAGGGAGTGTGTACATAGAATGTGTAGAGAGTTTTTAAAATCCAACACAACTAAAGCTTAAAGTTGACACTTTGTGTAAATTTGATTCTGTAAAAATTGGTCAAACGTGGCAAAGATAATTTTTTTCAAGAGTCTGCATGTATCATGCATGCTTAGTATGCAAAACTATATACCAGACTGATCTATTTACAGTTATATACAGCTCAGTACATGAAATGCAAACACATTCTGCAGATCATATAAGATATACTGCACTCTACATGAATTATGAGAAATGAGAAATCATAGAAAGCATGATGGATAACCACCAAGTTATTGACACATGAATGCAATCGGACCGAGTTAAAAAAAAAAAAATTTATTGAAAAAAACAACCCCCAAACAGACAAAAAACAACTGCATCAAGCCTTGTTTTCTGGCATGAGAAGTTAAAAATGACACATTTTTGTAATATTCACTGGGTTGTTGAAGAACACAAACTATTAGCTCTAAAAAAACAAAAAAAAAACAAAACTATGAAATGACTAGAACACACTTAGCATAAGATATTCATCTAACCAGACTGGCCAATAAGATATGAAACACAAAAGAATTTGAGAAATGAACTGAGCAAAGTATTTTGTGAAATGTAAGACACACTCCACTCTGTTTTTTAGACATGGAGAGGAACTAGGGGGTGGAGGG